ACTTAGCTTCATCTGCCATGATCTTTGTCTTGACTTGACTAGTGTGCACTTATATTTCAGCCCAAAAAAATAATCTTGAACTTTCATGTAGCTTAGTACATGGGAAATATGTCCAAACTCAATCTGAACTCGCTGACTTTATTCACTCTCAAACCTTTACATGTGGCTCCTTATTCGCTTAGGCCTATACAGCTTTTATAGTATAAAATAATTGTGCACATGTAGCCGTGTGTGGTAAGTCTAGCCTTGCTGTTGTGACTGTGATTACGACGTTTGCGTGTGGTTGCGGTATAGTGGCGGTTCACTAGAAACCAAAAACAACAAATAACAAATGAATAATAAATGAGAAATAGCGTGGTCCAAGATTTTAACTTGAAACGTCTGCTTGAACCCTCTATGAAATGTACATGATAATTGGTATCTCGGCGAATGATTAAAATAAGCCCAAGTTTATGCCCCCAAATCCTCCCAGATTTTCAACTTTAAACCCTTTAGAATGGCCCAAGTTTACTTCGTTTAACTCCTTAATGCTTATAATTTACATCTAATAACAATTTAGACCAAATACATACCGATTATGTAGAGTCTGGGGCAATTATTAGCGTAAGTTTCTGGGGTTTTACGTTACTTGCGTTCGGAAATTACATGTCATGTGTGAACCTTGACCTAAACCCAAAAAATAGAATGAGGGCGCCCTACAATTTTATGAGACAAGAAAGTTTCTCGGTCGGCAACTATCCAGACGTTATACATGGAGTCCCCATACTGACGGTAGTCTACGGAGTATGGTGTTCTATTCCCGCCATTTTGGCGTCGCGTCGTACCGTTGCTCCGACGCCACGACGCGACGGCACGACGTCGTGCCGTCGCGTCGTGCCGTCGCCTCCTTTCTTATTGAGTTCATGCTAAGCTAATTTCGTCGCGTCGTGCCGTCGCGTCGTGCCGTCGCGTCGTGCTATTTCTTGTTAATGTCGCATCGTGCCGGCGCGTCGTGCCGTCGTATCGTGCCCTTGTGGCGTCGCGTCTTGCCGTCTTGGCGTTGCGTCGTGCCGTCGTGGCGTCGCGTCGCCCGCCATTGCATGTTTTTATACATTGTGCATTAGGCCGTCGCGTTGTGCCGTTGCATCGTGCTGTCGTGCCGTTGCGTTGTGCCGTCGTACCGTCGTGTCGTACCGTCGCGTCGTGCCGTCGAGGCGAAGGCACGACGCGACGCTAATTTGGCGGGAATAGAACACCATAACGGAGTTATGCATGTATCTATACTAACATGCTTATACACTGGAGTCTCTATAATGAAGGTAATGTGTGGAGTCCCTATATGATGATAATCTATGGAGTGATGTTTGGATCTACTTTCTCGCGCTAATACACTGATGTCCTAAAGACGGTAATCTATCCATTGATGTATGTATCTACATCCCCGCACTTACACACTCTAGTCCCTATAACGACGGTAACCTAATGCTCGCTCTGTATGTAACAAAATAACAGATGCATTGGAGATTTTCAACCACAATAATGTTGATGTTATGTGCATCAGAGAAACCTGGCTGAAGGAACGTGATACTATCACTCTTGCTGAACTTACCTCTATGGTTACAAGTTTAATCATATCCCAAGATTAGTTAAATCTGGCGGTGGTGTTGGACTGTTGTATAAACCAGAACTTACCCCACTTGAAAAATGCAACAAGTTTGTGGCCTCCTCGTGTGAACACATGGAATGTGACATTAAGTGCGAAAATAATTCGCTTCAATTGACGGTTCTCTATCGACCGACGGCTTCCAACATGAGCATAGTTCTTAACGAGTTTGGTCATCTGTGGGAGGACACGCTCATCTACCCAAAGAATATTATAACCATGGGGGATTTTAACATACACTGTGATCGACAAGATGATCAAGATACGGCGGCCTTTATTCATCTTTTGGATTCTTGCGATCCAAAGCAGCATGTGCAGGAACCAATACGTAAACGAGGACATGTTTTAGATCTGGTCATCACTCGCGCATCCATTGACATTATTAAGTCGGTTGATGTATATGATCCTGCAATATCTGATCACTCTATGGTGACATGCACACTTGATATCCATAAATATATGCGCAAACAAACATCTGTGAATTATCTTCAAATACAGGACATTGTGTCACCCAGTTCGCTCAGGATACTGCTGGATCATAATTGACTGATATAGCGGCAGCAGACACCGACCTGGATGTTCTTGCCAGTACTTGCAACTCAGTGCTGAATAATCTTTTGGATGAACATGCACCGCTGAGGACGAAAATTCGTACTTTTCGTACCAATACATCCTGGTTCTCTGATGACCTTCTTAAGGAGAAAGCAGAGAGAAAGAGAATGGAAAGCAGATGGCGTTCATCAAAACTCACAGTTGACAGAGACTTGTTCAAACGTCAACGGAATAAGGTCGTTGGTCTTCTCAAAGCAGCCAAATGCACTTACTACCAAGATCTCAACAGTGATTGCCATGGCGATGGAAATCAAATGTTTAAAGTTCTGGACAACCTGTTGGGTAGGAAAACTGCAACTTGTCTGCCTTTGTGTGGTTCAGCAGATGATACCGCACTCATTTTCAGCCAGTTCTTCCAGTCCAAGACTGATAATATTCGAATGAGCTGTGAGGAAACTGTGCAGCATGAATCTGAATTGGGGCCGGGCTAGCTATATTGACGCATGTCCTACTCACTACCAGGAACAGCGGCTGCCTCTCAAAACTGTCTCATTGATCCATGTTGAGAGAATTGTTTGCTCATCAACCGCGAAATCTTGCCATCTGGATCCTATCCCAACGAATTGCTGAAATCTTGTTCCCACGTTGTGCCTCCAATATCACATCCATCATAAACTCGTCAATCGTCCATGGAGTAGTCCCTGGTGTCCTGAAATCAGCCCACGTCACACGCCGGTCCCCAAACGTCGACAAATGAAGAAAGACGCTGCTGAGGACCCGAAGAATTACATAACAATAACAAATTTGCCATTCTGCTTCAAAATGATGGAGAAAGTTGTAGCACAACAACTTACAGATTACATGTGTGAACATCAGCTGAACAAAGCTTTTCAATCGGCCTATCGGAAAAATCACGGGACAGAGGCTGCTCTTACGTACATCCAGAATGAATTACTATCCTGGTCACGCTGGATCTCAGTGCAGCCTTCGACGCACTTGAGCACCAGATACTTCTTCACAGACTTCAGTCGTATATTGGGTTGTCCGAGGATACTTTGCGTTGGTTTTCATCATAGCTCTCTGACAGATCACAAACAGAGTACGCAAAGAGACCAAAACGGGCCCTTCGACCTATCAACTACAGTATGGTGTTCGACAGGGTTCGGTGAACCATTGTTGTTCAATGTGTACATGCTGCCCATACGTAATGTGATTCGTAAGTATGGTCTGACCTGTCACTTTTACGCGGATTACACCATGCTTTACATTTCAACATCATCGAGATCTAATGATGTCGCAGCTAATGTCAATGTCATTGAGAAATGCTGCACTGAAATAAAATGGTGGATGGCATCCAACTATATAGGCCTATATGAAACTGAACACCGACCAAACAGAGACTCTCATTATTGGTACGACACTGATCTTGGAAAAACGTTCCTGCCGTGGATATTGACATGGAGGTCATTGCATTATATCACCCAAACAGTTGAAAAAATTGGGAGTAATCCTTGACAGCAGTTTGAACATGAAAAGTCACATTCGTGAAGTATCGCGTAATGCATTTACCATCTGCAAAATATCAGCAGGATAAAACAATGTCTGAATTATTCTGTCACTGAGCAACTTATTGTTATGCTGGTCATGTCTAAGATAGACTACTGTAATGCCATACAGGAACCAGAAATTCTGAGTATGTACACCTGTTCTTATGAAACTACACTGGCTTCCATTGAAGTATAGAATTATGTACAAAGTGTGTCTTTTTGTGTAGAAATGTTATTAAGATGGTCTAGCCCCTGATTATCTTAGTAACTTCATACGACTCGTTCTACATCAAGTGGACAAACTCGATTATCATCAGATAGAACTAGACTTCTGCTAAGTAACACCAAAAAAAGCACAATTGGGGACAGAGCTTTTTCTGCTATCGCTCCCAAGTTATAGAACAAACTTGATGTGTGCCTGAGGGAGACGGGGAGTATTGATGATTTTAAATCTGGGCTCAAAAAGTTTTTATCCTGAGAGGCGTTTTTATGATTTGTAATTTATCAAGTGTTTGAGTGGGTTATGTGATTTTAATTTTTGAATTGGTATTTTTATTGTATAAATATTTAAATAGGTTCTGAGAATATATAAATCCTTGTTAATGTTTGTTTTAACTGTGCATTGTAACCGCCCAGGAGCACGACCTTAGATGGAGGGATGCGGTATCATTATTATTAATAATCTATGGAATCCCTGTATTGACGGTAATTTATGGAGTGATGTGTGTATCTACATTCTCGTGCTGATAGACTGGAGTCCCAATGTTGATCCAGCTGGAGTTTCGTGCCCAAATGGATTTTATTTACCGACTTTTTCATTTTGGGGTGCTGATTTCAAAAAATTGAGGTGTCATTTTTTCGGCCACGTATTCGGTTGTCATTTTCAATTTCAAAATGGCCGCAATTTATCACTATGTTTTCTCCTGTATCTCCAATTTCTAAGTAACTTCGGGGAGTAAAAACGGTCGCAATACGCAGGTTCATGATGCCAGGGATTCCATTAAAACTGCTTTCATCCTTCTATCTAATTCCCTGTGACCGTCATGTAGAATATCAGTATGGCCACCATATATATACACCTTGACATCCATTCCACCTTGCAAGCAGTGCCTAGCCCAAAACTGATGGTAATACGCATGTCGATGGCAAATTGGCAAGGATTCCAATTAGTGCACAATCTCAAACGCCACCACTGTTTTGGCGGAGGATTAAAAAAAACTATCCGCCATTCTTGTATTACTGTACTTAAACAGTTTGTGCACGGTATACATACGTTGCAATTGCAATAGACACACTTCCAAACCATAAAATATATGGTTGAAAATCAATAAAACAGGAGTTCACTGGAAATCTGCTTAAGTTTTATTTAACCTGTTTCATACAGTATCACAATTCTTAACTGGGTCCATATCAATCAAGCATAGATATCACATGTATGGCTAATTTGTCTCATACACTGTCAGAACTGTCTACAGAAAATCCAAATGGGGTACATCAATTAATTGCTTTACTACTTTATGAGTTTTATTTTTAGTTTCAATTTCAGCTAGAGGAAGCTTGTTCACGTGGTATGTACTTTAAGTCTTTTTCCTGATCGACTTTTTTGACTTGTGCTAAATTACATAGGAACAGTTACAAAGTTACCAAGTCAGAGTCTTCTTGACCTATCATATTGTAATCCACTTTGTTGCCACAGTCGCTACATTTACGAAGAGGTGTACATGGCAAGTTATTTTTAGACAGGAGCAATGGCTGGTACATACACCACAACATCCACATTTGACAAGTTCAACAATAGCCCGAGGTGCTAATAGCTCCAGACACATCTTTGGAGAAATTGTTTCATTTGAGGTCTTTCCCATCCATTGTCGGTAAGAAGGGGTATTTGGGGCCTCGGCTGTTTGTAACCTTTGGCAATTTGAGGATGAGGTTCGCTATCTGAATGCACAGTTTTAGTGTTCTAAGAGTAAGTGACAACTTTTCGGCTTCATGATTTTTGCATTTGAATAATTCCTATCTCAGTTTCTTGACTGCTGCGTTTGGTGCTCTTGGCGTATAGTGTACACACAAACTTTTCGAGAACATTTGACACGCTGTCCAAATCAAATCCATTCTCACCAAATTTCTGGAAAACATCAACGATGTTACAATCTGATTCCAGGCTAAGATATTGTTTAGTCCACCTAGCTTTGGATATACCTACAAATTTGACTCCTCAATCAGCACCACCACAGGCATGAAGACCTACAAGACCTTTGCTTTTCTTTCTTCCAATAGCGTATTGCGTACGTAAATTACACGCTTCGCTTTCCCTTTTCCTGTGATGAAACGAAGCTCATCTGGAATGTCATGGGAGAAGACTATAAGTCCATTAGGTAAATGACCACATCTGTATCTTGTGAATGCACGTCTATATCTCATATGTGTCAGTTAGATTGGAATGAATCAAGTACGTGCAGTGGGATAAAGGTGTCTGCCTCTTCGTGCGAGTGTTCACCAATGTTAGAATCAAAGACATCTGGTTTGTTGGAGGGCGATGAGATTCCATAGACAACTACTATGCTTTTGCAACTGCCTGCAAATTCTTTAAGTAGAGCTTTCCCCAAGTATTCTGTTAGTTTGGACTTTCATTGTGAGACAGCAGGGTTTTGAGTGGTACTAGCTTGATATTAGTTGAGTCTTTGACATCAAACCTAACAGGGTCAAATCCAGCAAACCTCTTGCCACGGTCTGAGCTTTCAGAAAGTTATCGATGTATCTGTCGGAGATAACGTGTGCTTTAGCGTATCCTGATATTATCTTGCTTATGCTTCGAACAAAGGCGTTTGCAAGATCCAAGCAATATACCATCCCTAGATCTTTCCTGATAGATTGGACAACTGCCATTACATCATTATGCACACTTTGTTGCAGCTCACAATAGTGTGTGAATCATTTACTTCAGATTTACTTGGTGGCTCCATGTTGTACTCTTCAATGGCATAGACAACAGCACTCTAGTCAGTTGGGAAAAGAAGACCATCTGAGGAGAAGAGCGATTTCAATTATACCCATATAATTGAAAACCCATATCTTCCGATTGTCTCACTAAGCGATTGTATTATACTTGGTCGCTACTGCTGAACCACAAGAAATCTTGCCAATAGTTGACGATCCTCTTTTAACTTGACCAGCTTGTTATCAAGTTTGCAATGTGTCTTCTTCTGGCATGTAATGAACGTCTTTAACTTCACCTTTTCATGGGATCCTAAATGGATGCTTTTGCTGGAGAAGCAAACGATCTTGTACCCTTTTCATCTCTATGGGTACCAATTTCGGTGACCGTTATCTAACGCGGTTTTTATAATCATTTTAAAAAACATATCACAGTAGTAAATTAATACATAATGATAGCAGTGTTAAGTGTACATACGAGACAAAAACCATACTTACTTGGAACATTTCTCGGAGATTTCTTGAAGATGCTGTATGAAAGCATTCAGTTACTGGCAGGGATTTAAGTAAAATAAATGTCCGTTTACAAGGATGATTACTCTTGCCATACTAGTATTAACTCAACTGACACAGGTCTGTCATCTGGCTCAGTTGCTCTAGTAAAAGTCATACACTATAGAAACTTCATGCCTCATTATTTTAACCAAGGTGGGTTTGTTTTAACGGTTGTCAAATAATATAAACAAGAGGTCTGCTCCTGACTCACAAGGAAGTCATCGTGTAAACATATTTTACTTTACATGTCATCAAAAATCTTACAAAATCTAAAGATATGAACTGCGAAAAACAAGTCTGTATGTCTATGATAGATAATTTTAATACTTTATCAGCTCTGACGCGAATCCCTTATGTATAATATGCAAGATTTGTACGTCGAACACTTAAAGTACATTAAAATAAAACGTGGAAGTGTATATTTCTGTTGAAACAAACTAAACGACTTTCAAATTTTAATATTAAATTATTTCAAACCTAACTATTTCTCAGCCCTCTCATTTCACAATATGTATCTATCCTTTTGTTGATTATTGGTGCTATTTCAATTCTGGGTGGAGAGTGGATATTTCTCTATTTTTTACCTTTCTATTTGAACCAGTAGTTAATTATTGATCTTTTATACAAAAAGGCGAAAAAATATGATCTCGCCAAACCAGAGCAAATTGGTTGGCATCTTGACTACAGTCTGAATTGGAAATGTGCTTTTTAAATTTAATTATAGGATACGGTTGTAAATTGCTTTGCTTGGATTATTTGTAGCCAGGAAGGCCTAGTATTCCTATGTCCAAAATGGCTTAATTCAAAACATGAAACGCGCGGATGGTGGCGATCAATGATTTCGTTGGTAAACAAGTCTTATTTTACTTCACTAAATGGTTTTCCTGAGCTGCAGCCACTTGTAACGTGCCAAAGTTCTCGATGTGCGATTTTGTTCAGTGAAGTGACCCTTATGTTTTCACATCACTGTAAGGATTCTCTTTAGCTGCAGCTTCACACTTCAATGCAGGAATTTCCGCATAGATGTTGTCTGTTGACTCATGGGCCCCGCCTGTAGCACCTAAGAACTCATCGGAGGACCCAGACATGAAGGCGTGATCTTTTTCATCACTGCATGATATGTATGCTGGGTTGATCGACTCTACAGTGTTAACTTGATGGTGCATGCTGGAAGGAAATTCACTGAATATCCGGGTGCTGTAAGCTACGTCAAGTGGATCCAGTGCTGATTGACCCCTGTCACGGACCCGTTCACTGAACGCATCCTTTATCTGGACAACACTGTAGGTGAAAGTACAAACATCTCACTAACGATTTTAGAATACAGCTCAGTTTGTTTACTCCGAACGTATACAGTTACTTAAGACTGAATGAAATGTGCCGTTATATGGTTCATTTTATCATCTTTCCATGATATTAAAACCATGGCCAAAATGACAAAATTAGTTTGCGTAAATTTTGATTCATGTATAATCTTTGTAACGCTCATTTTGCTTCTACTTTAAATCCAAACTGGAGCGAATGAACTATAACTTTGAAGTAAACAGTAAAATGGCCAATGCCTAATAACTTATTTGTAAACTGCTGCAGAATAAACGTTTCGCAAAATCACTTGAGCACCCCATGATAAATAGCGTAGGACTAAGTGATAGTACTGCCCTTTCTCCCTAAAGAACGTAATTGAAATCTCACACACATTACTTACTAGCCTCTTCGATACGCAAGTAATCCCACCGCAAAAAATGAAATTACGGCCAAAACAACCACGAAGATGTACCAGTTCGAACCAATCCAAGTCTAATAAAAGGAAAAGAAAGGTTTTGCGTGCTCTTCATAAATCCTGTATTAGTTAATTGCAATTTTAAGGATTCCAAAATACCTTGCATAAAATGAAGCAACGTTTTGTCTAGTTTGAGTTCACTCTTTCCTCAATAATCCGACTTTTTGTAAATAAGTTTGTCTACGGTGAATAAAAATAAAAAATAAGAAATAAGAATGGCTTAAAAGACAGTGATACAGAATGCAGAGGGAGTGATGGGCACACAGCCGTCCAAAATATTGTGGAACAAATGCCCCATTCCACCTGTATAAATTTTTTCCTCATCTGTGCTCTGACGTCGTGTTACCACAAACTGCTTCAATTTCCTACTGTCCGTTGTGAAAAGTGCTGCTCCAAATAGATGGTGTGAAGCACCCCGAGTCTTTTTTTATAAAAAGCATGTCCACGTTTCTGGTAAGAAGATGAGTACCTTTTTGACGTCTCCCTCCAAATGGGCAAGACTTGACACACCACTGATACAAACTGAGGCTTGTCTCTAAAATTTTCCTCTTCAACTTTCTGACGTCGAGGCCGCCCCTATTACCACCACAATTTCACTGCATGTTTTAACCATTTCTACAATCTCCAACCATCATCGCTGTTAAGGATTCAGGACTTTTTTCAATTGATTCGTCTTACTTCTAAATCATGCCATAACAAATTTCCGTAAGGAAATATCTTAACATTCAATGCATTTACTGCAATATTACCTTTCCCGTATATGGCTCTGCAGATCCATAATAGATGTCAAAGCCGAACTCTCCAATAAGCTCAGGCGACGCCCCTTTAATCAAGCCCTCTATTGTGACCTTATCAAGCAAATGGCCAGACTCCGTCCAAGCTATGAAGGTCACTCTCGTCAACAGGGAGCTGAGATGGGTATAAAATCGATTATTTGCGCAAGATCTGACTACCCTCAAAGTCAAACGGAGCTTTTACAGAAACATCGTCTTGTTCGCAATGTGGCCGAAACATATAATGATATACTGATCAAGAACGCGTCGAAGGGAGCTCTTGCCAGTGCTTTGGGCAGTAAACGTTATACCCTATCAAAATGGATCTTTTACATTGGGAAAAGACCTTAAAAAGGAAGACATACCCCTGGGATTCTAATCAAGAGTACACACAATACTAATCCTTTTCTTTACTAGCTACGCTATACGCAAGGTCGACCAAATATCTATTACGCCTTTTGCGCCCACGACCCCGTACAATAACGTTGAAGTATTTATGTAATTCAGGTAGAACCAAAATATACTTTGGCCCTATTCCGAAAAGTGGCCACTCCCTTAAAGCCTTATTTATTAACAATGGTGAGTAGTTATAGCTCAGGTGTTATTTCAAATCCTCGTTTTCTTTTATATTTCTAATCCAATGGCAGTGGCACTGCCTAAGATTTGCTACATGCGGTTTGTTTATTACCTACCGGTATGGTTGAAGGTTATACCCAAGAGGGGAAAGCAATGGCGTATCCAGGAGCGGCATGGGCAGTACTTTTTATTGAATACACCCACACTTAATAGCGTATACTCTCCACCTTTCTGGGAAGGGTAATGATATTTTGTAAACAGAAATTTCTACAGTTATATGAAAACAATTTTGCCCATCCCCAAACAAACCTGGAACCGCAACTGAGGAATGCAGAAGTCCCATTTATACATGGCTTTAAGCTACGAAATTAATCCTGAATTTAATTTAATTTAAATATCCACTACTTTGATTTCATATATAACATGTGACATTTCATCTTAATTTCAGTGGCACTGAAAGCATAATTCAACATTCACCTGTCTACAGATTTGACGTAGTCTTCGGTACGAACTACTTCCACAGACATTGTTTCCCTTTCGTCATTACGTGTGTTCCACAAACGAAGTGAGTATAATTTCTGCAACAGACTTGCTAACCGTGATGCAAACTCAGACTCACTATCCAACGTCCCTGTCACAAAGACGACGGCGCCGTGCTGTTTTAAGTCTTTAACATTAAATAAAAGAGAAAAACAAAAGATGCATGAAGCACTGAGTCAAAACTTGACAAACACAGACACAAGGGTGATCCATTTTACCTATAAAGCAGTACCTTTACTATCACAGAGTATTTCTTTAACGTCTAGTTTGTTATTACATTTGGTGTTTAATTTTATGATTGTTATTTGTAATTACACTTTTATTATACATATACATTTTCCTGCACTTCGGCAGCTCAGGGAGAACAGTTCATTGACAATTAGTGGGCTACCCTGAAAAATTAAAACAAAAAACAAACAAATAAAACAACCCCCCAAAAGTCTACAAATCAATAAAATCATTCAAAGCACAAAGAGAAAGTGTCAACTGCAAAATTTGTTCTCACCTACGTCGCAATTTTTACCGTAGAAGTCGTTATAACAAATGCAATTGTAATTGTTGTCAATGGCACTGTCGATGGTTTCACATTTGCCGTTCTTGCATGGTGTAAGGGCACACGGGTCATCTATTGCTGCATCACAGTTTCTGCCTGTGTGAAACTCATCACATTCACATCTGCAAAAACCAAGGAAAGGTTCTGTATTAATGTCACGGGACGGGACGGGATAGTGTAGCTTTACACTTTGTTGTGGTGGGTCCGCCAGTGTTATTAGTACTGGGTGCTCAAGGGGAGAATAGTTGACACGAGAAATTATTAGTCAGTCACAATTCAATTATATGAACGGAAATTATAATCAAATATTATTTGCTTTAAATCTCACTATAAATGTAGCCAGTTGCACACAAAAGTACAAAGTTATAAGACATTCTTACAGGAGTACTGAGTATATGTAGTATGCAGATGTGAACTATGGACAACTTAAAGTGGGCCTCCACAAATACTTCACAGTGATACAGATAGAATTATTCCAGCAAAACCCCAGTAAACAGGTACTTTTAATATATCGTGCCTATAAATTTTCCTATAAGTTTACCTTGCTGATAATTCCTATAATTCTAAAGCTAAAAGAGGAAGAAACAGCAACAGTATTTTCAACCGTAGACCCGGACATAAATTTGCGACACGATTACTGACGTCACGTCAATTATTTACCAGTGCAAAAAAGACATTTTACTCGTAAAAACTGTTAGGATATAGGATCATTAATTTTGTCATGAAAAATCACGATGTCTCTTTTCAGGCAGCATATGAAAGACGTTAATATAACTTTTATTCGAACTCTAGAGATTGGATAAAAGTCGGTGAACAGTTACAATTAGTCGATTTTTTTGTTTCCATGACCTCTGGTCAGTATTGGCTTTGTTCAAGACAAACTTCAGATGACTCTCGATACATACCTGTAAGCGTTCAAATCATCCACACACGTCCCGTATGTACATGGGGAACTACTACACTCATCAGTTTCGTCCTCACAAAGTACGCCTTTGAAGCCGGCAGTGCAATTACATACATAGCTATTGATCAGATCCCAACACAATCCATTTACGCAGGGTGAACTGTTGCACTCATCAGTTTCACTTTTACAAGTGTACCCAGAATATCCTGGCGGGCATAGGCAAGAAAACCCGTTCAAACGATCTACGCAAGTGCCGCGTAAGCAAGGCGAGCTAGCACACTCGTTGATATCGTCGTCACATGTCTTTCCATCGTATCCGGCGGTACATTCGCAGATAAACCCTGGGTAGTCGTTAACACAGGTGGCATTATTCAAGCACGGATCACTGTCACACAGATTCATCCTCTGACACCTGATGTTATCAACAGTGATTAAGAATTAAGTGTTTTATCTACTTACAATGATCAAATTTTCATGAAGTATCGTCTTCCCATTAATCAATTGTGCAAAATACCATTTGTAACAATGAGTCACTACGGTAAAGTACTCATAATACTAGTAACAATGAAAAAACGGTCCGAGAATAATCTGAGGAAAAAATCAGTGGTCATTGCTTGGAAAAGAACTCAACAACCACGGTTCTAAACTTACCAAAAACCGTTGATATCGTCTACGCAAGTCTCGTTGGCGTGGCACGGGAATGAGGCACACTCGTCCATGTCATTCTCACAAGCGTCACCCTCGAACCCAGCTGAACAATGACAATGATACCCGGCCAGCTCGTCTTCACATGTTGCATTATTTTTACATGGAAAGCTCAGGCATTCGTCTGTCTCTTGTTCACAGTCAGTACCCTCGTATCCTTCCTCACATGTACATCTTAGGAGTGAAACAAAACACCAAATAAGATCGTTGGTTATAAAAAGACTAGGTCTTTCCTGCCGTACATCACAGAAACTCCAGATTCGCGATTCAAGTTTGGGAGTACTGTTAACTTCAAAATTCACGATAACCTAAGAATGATCGGCCTTTTACATGCAGCTAAAGACAAAGTATGCCTCTCGTGTGATAGCCAGAGGTCAGTGTTCAATCGTTTCATTTCACAACTCCACGTCATAACCCGGGAAAAATGAAAGCTTTTGTCCCAACGCGATTCTGCCTTGCCCCATGCTGGCGCCACCATTAGCTATTGGCCTAGTCGGTCTTTTGCACTAACATTTGCGATAGACCGATTGCGCCCACTAGTAAGTCGCGTGGCCTAGAGCGGATATCAGGTTTTAAAAACTAGGTTTCTACGGATATTTCTGACACTACATAAAAGCTCTGTTGCAGGTGGTCTTAATACCACTTAACCAAGAAAAGGTTTCAGTATCTTCCAACATGCCATTTTATTCCGTGTTTTTAATAAATTAAAAAGGTGGATGTCTTTACAAGGTTATTGACTTATAACGAAGAATTCAGGATCTTTCATAACCCATGGCCTATTGGTATTCTCAACGTACTGGTATTTTCCAATGAGGTCAATGCATGTTCCGTTGTGCAGACAAGGATTAGATGTGCACTCGTCTGTCTCCACTTCACACATGACGCCTTCGAAACCCTCCTCACACAGACAGTGAAACCCGTCTAGTTGATCCACACATGTGCCGTTATTTGCACAGGTTTGGTTGATGCAATAATCTATATCTACCTTCAGAGAATTCAGAAATGCAATTTTTTTAAGTGAACCGGGATTGTGAAAAGGACTCAAAACGTCTGAATGTGCGTACACTTTTGTGAATTCGTCCACTGAGGCACATAATCCCCAAAGTTTTCTTGGTAACGGGAACAGAAGTTTTAAATGACGCAAATATCTGCCTCCAAAATCGAATTTTCCAAGAACGAACCGTCCCCCCAAGCAAAATTTATGTTCACTTCCAGTGCATATGCAATGTCACATGTAAAAATGGTTTTAAACAGTTCCAGATTTATTTAAAGGTGAGGGAAAGTGTTCTGAGTCGTAGACAATTTGTCTAAAAAAGGTTTTCATGAACATAATTGGGCCATCCTATGGTATGAAGGCCACGTTAAGCAACACGAAAGTTGTAACATATAGCGCGGGTGAGAAGCTTTTAGCAGTTTGACTGGAGATGTTTCACTGCGCAATGGGAGTTATGAACAATATAGAGCTATATATACAACGCAATGAGAGCTGTTTGCCAGCGCAATGAGTGTATGGAACGCCAAATGTACCAAAATATGAGGTTGTGTGCCGGGGAGATGTAAATTAATTTTGGATTTTGCCCTTCCCGGCGTGTATTTTACATCTCCCAGGCGCAAAATCCAAGCTCGGTGCGGTGGTTGAGTGGTTAAGACGTCTGCAATAGTAAGTAGGAGGTCGAGGGCTCGAGCCCTACCCGAGTACGCTTGTGGGTTTTTTCACAAGTCTTCGGGGGCATAAACTGAGCATACAGTGCTACACACACGTCGGACAAGGCAAAATTCAAAATTAATTTACATCTCCCGGGCGCAAAACCCATCTTTGAAATAGTTGTTTGCGGGACTTCCTAGTAACACACAACACTGCAATCTACGAAAACTCGACATAGCCTACATTTTCCAGGAAGCTCATATGCACATAGAGAGGTATCACCACCAGTGAATTCTCTCTCCGTGCTAGTCGCAAAAACCTAGAGTACATCAGCGAGCAGAGCCTTCGTTCAAGCAGCTGCATATGCTTTACTGCTTTTGAAAGTAGTAAAGTAGCCTTGTTGACGCTGATGACAAATATCATTTACAACAGCAACCTTCTGGGAATAATCCTGACACGTTTTTTTAATAAGGTCAATTGATTATCTTTTAAACTTTGCTCGCATGTTTCCTTGCTATTTTTCTTTTTAAAGAGAAAACGCCCTTATTGAGACAAGTCTTGAAAAGCACTCCATTCATTTTAACACCGTGACGTATTAGCGACATGAATATACTTGCAACGACCCTTCCCCATGAATATGTACGTCCTAAAAGGTTTTTAATCAACGTGATTGTTTCTTATCCTTAATTTACATTAAATTGAAATTGAATTGAAAATTAAAAGAGCAAAATAGGGAACAAGCATTACGAGTCCTCTGGAATCAAATGCCGTCATAAAAATACTTTAAATATAAATACAAAATGGAAACGATGTGACAAACATGTT